AAATTTCGTAGGATGAAGCATTCGTAAGTAGAGGTTCCACTGTATACTAATAGCAAGCTCTGACCCCTCTCCATTGATCCTCATTTGTTTTTCAGATGCCAGGGCCATTCAGAGAAGAGGGCAACAATTCCCTCAGTGCAGAGATGGGTTCACCGGATGCTTTCAAGAGGAACTCTGTGGGTTCAGTCAAAGAAGAAGATGAGGGAGAAGTCACTTCTTTTGGTAATATTTGTGATCTGCTTGCCTATTTATTTTTATTTGTTTATTTTATGGGAATGTTTCTTGCAGAGCGTAGAAGTAATGTTATTTTTGGGGGATGATAGAATAATAGTATTAAAAAGTTTTTTTTTCTAATTTGTATTAGTTTTATTATATGTTTAATCCCATCACTGCTATTTCCTCCCATTTTTGAACCAAAAAAAAAAAAAATTAACACTTTGTCCCAAACCTCTAAATATTTTTTGAATGTTGGTTTTGCAAATCCTTGTATGTTTATCCATTTCTAGCATGTTGTATCGTTTAATTAACCAATCCTCTATTAATGGTTTGTTTTCCTGTTACTTTTAAGTGAAAGTTCAAGACATTCTGATTGGGATTTTTCAAGCTTTATTGCTGCTGTTATCAAGCCTAATGGCTTTTTATTTTTTAAAAAAATAACAGGAAAGTACCAAGAAATGGTAATGCAACGTTACTTTCTAAACATTACAATGTCTTAAGGAGTGTTGGGAATGGAATTCTTGGTAAAAGCAATTTCTAACCTTTTTTTTAACTTTTATTAAACCTTTAAAAACATAACATACAATTATCAAACAATTGTTGACTTTGATTACATTTATAATTCTCTTCAACTAAAACATCTTCTTATATAATCTTCCAAGCCTGATTTCCAGTGCTAACATTTCTTAGTGTTTAACTAAATTTTCCAAACTGTTCCTAAATTACATAAACAAAACCAAAAAAAGAAACTCCATGTAATCCTAACCTATGTGGGATTAATTATATAGACGATATCATTATATATATATTAATCATTATATGTGTTATATGTTATTCATCCACAAATCCAAACATTATCACATTGCCCCACATATTGCTTTTAACTTTTAAGACCAAATTTTTCTTTCACATATATGGAAAAGTTACACAAAAGTTCTTTTTCCTGTTACAGGAGGTGACAAGAGGCCCCGAAGGACAAAGACAAGCCAACCAGAAAATCCTGGGGAAGGGAAAACCTATGGCATTTTGCTTGCGGAAGATGTATCTGGCTGTGGTGACCAAAGTGAAGCAGCCTCTGATAACAGAAAAGGAAATAGCCCAGGGAAGAAATGGGATAGATTAGACAAGCGCAGTCTTCCTGAAAATAAAAATACCCGTTCAGCAGAAAGACGGTATCAGTGCTCCTTCTGTGAGAAAAGCTTTAAACACAGGTCCACGCTGACGGTCCATCAGCGCACCCATACGGGAGAGAGGCCATATACCTGCTCGCACTGTGAGAAAAGCTTCATGCATCGGTCCAATCTTATTGTTCACGAGAGAACCCACACGGGAGAGAAGCCCTACAAGTGCCTGGACTGTGGGAAAAGCTTCTGCCACCGCTCAAACCTGATCGCGCACGAAACGGTCCATGCGGCAGGGGCTCTGTACCAGTGCGCGGAGTGTGGCGAACGCTTCGAGCACCTCTCACACCTCAATGCGCACAAGCCGGTCCACCTGGAGGAGAAACCCCACGAATGCTCGGACTGCGGGAAGAGCTTTAAGCAACGCTCAGCGCTCACAGACCACAAGAGGACCCACCGGGGGGAGAAGCCGCACAAGTGTTCCCAGTGTGGGAAAACCTTCAGCAAGAGGTCAGCCCTCATTGTCCATGAGAGAACCCACAAGGAAGAAAAGCCATACCACTGCTCAGATTGTGGGGAGAGCTTTAGTGAGAGGTCTGTTCTTGTGGCTCATGAGAGAATCCATGTCGGGGAGAGACTTTGCTCGCAGCTTGCTCCTTATTACACATAAGAGAATCTATGCAGGAGAGAAGTACGAGTGCTTGCTCCTTATTACACATAAGAGAATCCACACAGGAGAGAAATATGGATGCTTGCTCCTTATTACACATAAGAGAATCCATATAGGAGAGAAATATGGATGCTTGATCCTTATTACACATAGAAGTTTATCACACGGGGGAAATTGGGAGTTTAAACAGTATTAACCCGTGAAAATTGCACAATTGACATTAAAACACAATTAAAATGAAATCATCATAAGAGCCATTATCCTGTGAATAACCAGGGAATAACCAGGCGATAAACAGCAAAAAGTCATTCACGGGAAAATCCCGTGAATGATTTATTACTGTTTCTTGCCTGGTTATTCATGGGATAATGGCACTTTAATCATGTTTTATCTCGACGTCCTGTGAAAACCATTAGCGCAATTGTGGGATTGTCATGGTTTATTCATGGGATAATAGTGCTTTGAACATGACGTTGTGTAAAAACCATTAGTGCAGTTGTGGGATTATGATGGATTAATCACCATTTATACTTCCAGTTGTCCCCCGTTTGATAAACTCTATAAGAGAATCCATACAGGAGAGAAATATGGATGCTTACTCCTTGTTACAGATAAGAGAATCCATGTAGGAGCGAAATATAGATGCTTTCTCCTTATTACACACCAGAGAATCAACACAAGAGAGAATATGGTGCTTGCTCCTTATTGCCCATCAAAGAACCCAGACTGGAGAAAACCCATATGAATCCTCCAGCTGTGGGGAAAGTGTCATTCGGCAGCATCTCCTGTTTACCCAGAAGATAACTCAATTCAAAAGAGAGACCCATTCACCATATGTACGAGTCAACTTATTTGTTTCACCATAATGGACCCCACATCAGAACGGATATTGTGTAGCTGGAGAAGTTGAAGAAAAGTGCCAAGTTTGGAAGAGTGGCCATGTTGCCTAGGGGATTCTGGAACTTGTAGCCCCAAAACCCTGAAACCTTTCCCATGTTCTGCCCAGTGATTAGGAGGCCATAGCATCTTGCCTGTGAGAAAAGGTTCCAGTGTTTTTAAGAGGGTGGGATTAGTATAGAAAAAAGGATAGTAAAAAGGGGAAAGCATGATAGAGTTGTATAAAGTTATGCATGGTGTAGAAGAAATGGAACGGGATAAATTTCTTTCCTTTGATTAAAATAGATCCTGGGGTTGTTCACTGAAGCTGAATCATGGGAGACTGAGGACAGAGAAGAAAAAGAAACATCTTCACACAGTGCCTAGTTAAACTCTGGAATTCCCTGCCACAGGATGCAGGGATGGCTGCCAACATGGAGGGCTTCAAAAGGGAATTGGATAGATTTGTGAAAATTGGGACCATCCATGGCTACTAGTCATGATGGCTGTACATCGCCTCCGGTATCAATGGCCTGTGCATATCACTTGTTGGATGACGTGTGTGTGTTGTGTACCCAATGTCTTGTTTTTCATCCTTTCTGTGATTTATTGGTTGAGCATTGTTCTAGGCTGGGTAGGCTTCTACTCTGTTCCAGCAGGATTCTTCTTATGACTAAAATATTTGAAGAGAGCAATATCCTGAATTAGGAACACTGTCATTGTTCCTGCCTTTTTCTTGTGGACTTGCATTTTCTGGGGCATTTATTTGATGTCTTCAGATACTTTGATTGGGAGTTCCTGCATAGCAGGGGGTTGGACTGGATGGCCCTTGTGGTCTCTTCCAACTCTATGATTCTATGATTCTATGACTATGCTCCTGACGTTTTGCTCATGTTTTTTTCCCCCCTCTATTCTGTGGTGTTTTTTAAATTTTTAAATTAGCATTAATTTTATTTGGGTTTGATTAATACCTTGCTTTTTTCCTCAAAATGCATAGCAACTAATGAGATTGTAAAGCAGGTTCAAATAAAAGCACAAGAAATTCCCATGTGAACACACTTGAACCAATTGTGATTTTAAAATTAAAGCTGAATTAAAAGCGATGTAAAAGCACATCAATAAAAGGCATCCAATAAAACTACTTTCTCTGCAGGCAGTCACTTGTCAAAATCCTATCTGACTTGAAAAGTCTTTGCCTGGAAGGACATAGAGGAAAGAACTAACACAACTTTTCTTGAAAGAGGGTTCCTTTCCATGGAAACCATCATGGAGCATTAAAAAATGCTTTTTGAATCTTTTTTTAATTAAATATTTGTATAATAGTGGAAATGAAACGCAAATTTTAGTGCAAATTTCCAAAATGGAGTGAAGAAAAACACTTTTAAAGTGATACATACAGGACCATAGTATAACCTCCAACTGTCCCAATTGGGCAGGAACACTCCCAATTAATTCTCTGTCCTCCCATTTTTCAGCTCCTTTTAAAATGTCCCAGTTTCTCTCTTCTCCTCCCACTTTCTCTTTTTATTCTCAGCTTACATCTATTGCTGCAAACTGAGTGCTAAGGATCCCATGGACAGCCAAAAGGACAAACAAATGGGTCCTGGAGCAGATCAAGCCAGAAACCTCCCTGGAAGCCAAGAGGACCAAACTGAGACTGTCGTACTTTGGACACATCATGAGAAGGGAGGACTCTTTGGAAAAGACAATAATGCTGGGGAAGGTGGAGGGAAGGAGGAAGAGAAGAAGGTCCCATGCCAGATGGATGGACTCTATGAAGGAGGTCACTATGGGGATTAAGGGGTGGCAGGAATTGAGCAGAGCAATGGAGGACAGAGGGTCTTGGAGAGGTCTCATCCATAGGGTCACTATGAGTCGAGATCAATTGAGGGCGGTTAACAACAAAAATGGAAGAGAAACAAGGTGGAGACATCTGATTAATGGGAACTTATGGTAGTATGCGTTCAAGGCATTTCTGACTTAAGGCGGCCCTATCATGGGGTTTTCTTGGCGTGTTGCTTCAGAAGAGGTTTATCATTGCCATCCTCTGAGGCTGAGAGAGTGTGACTGTACTGGCCCACGGTCACTCCAGGGGGTTTCCATGGCTGAGCAGGGATTCAAACTCAGGTCTTCAGAGTTGTACTGCAGTGCTGAAACCACTACACCACACTGGCTCTCATGGGCAAGCTGGGATTTGAACTCTGGTCTCTGGGGTCCTAGTCCAAGAACACTCAAACTACTAGGTCACACTGGATCTTCTTTACTGTACGATAACATTGTTGGGTAATTTCTGAACATTTCTATGTCTCCACCCCCATCTGCTAAAATGCTGAACTGTCTTTCAGAGCATGGATTTGAACCCTGATCTCCAGAGTCAACCACGATATCACATAGGAATCCAATGAATTTTCTGAACTGTATGGGGGAAGCTGAATGCTGTTGTAGTGACAGGGAGAAAATGATAATATTTAAGGCACTTGTCTAGTACTTATGGACCACTCAAGGAACTTGGGAAGAGATATGGCCTCTCTTCCCAAATCTTTTGCTTTAAGAGATCAGAGACTACATTTCCACTTATTCTGTATCTTTATTGCTCCCAAAGGATGGGATACATTTGCCCTGAAGTTTAAACTGAAGAACCGGTTAAGTATTGCTTGTGAATTAACCATTTTTTAAAAATTGCAATTTGGTTTTGACTCGGTGTCAGCAGTTATCAGAACAACCATATAACAAACAACCAAACCACTCAAGTAAGGGACATCATGTGACGTTATTTTCTAAATTATATGTGTAAACTATATTAAAAATCTGAGCTGGGTATTCAGGAAACCTACAAGTACAAACACGAACTACCTTTGGCCTTCTGGATATTTTGGAGGGTATATGGGGTGCCTTGTTTTGGGGGGCCCTGGACAATTTTTGGCTAAGGAGAGACCTTGTGTACAACAGGAATTGACTCACATATCAATCTATGTATGTATGTATGTGTGCGTGTGCATGTATATATACACACACACATACACTCAGTCCTTTGTATTGGCGGATCCCTCATCCACAGATTCAACCATTCATGGTTTGAAAAATATTATATATACAGTGGATCCCTGGTATCTGCTTGGGTTTGCTTCCAGGACTCTCCATGAATAACAAAATCCGTGGATGCTCCAAGTCCCATTAAATGTAATGGCATAGCAGAATGGTATCCCTTATATAAAATGGCAAAATCAAGCTTTCCTTTTTGGAATGTACATATTTAAAAAATTTTAAATCTGTGGATGGTGGAATCCGTGGATAAAGAATCTGTGGACATGCAGGGCTGACTGTATTTACATTTCAAAAAGCAAACCTTGATTTTGTTGTTTTATATAAGGGGCACCATTTGTAGGCCATTGTATTTAATGGGACTTGCAACTCCATGGATTTTAGTATGCATGGGGGTCCTTGAACCAAACCCCAGTGGATACCAAGAGCCCACTCTGTGTGTATGTATGTATATATATCTATATCTTTTGGTCTTCAAATGGCCCAAGGGGATCCCTAAATTTTGGCATAATTTCCCCCATTCTTGAAAGGTGTTTGAGCGTAAACATATCTTTTTAGAAAAACATTTGAACCCCTGGTTGACATTAAAACAGCTGGGCAGACCAGTGGCCTCTGAGTCACACTCCAACTTAAAAGACCAAAGAAGGATCCCTTTTGAGACAATAAATCAGTGTTATACATAAACCCTCTGATGAGAAATAAAATGAGAGGAGCGGAGACCCTATGTAGTCCTTCCAACACGGCTGGATTTGTTGTTGTTATTGTGTGCCTTCAAATTGTTTCCGATTTAGAGCGACCCTAAATCGAATCTATCACCAAGTGTCTGACTTGCCCAAAGTCATGGGTTTCATGACCAAGCAGGGATTTGAATCCTGGTCCCCAAAGTTGTAGTCCAATGGTTAAACTGTTACACCATACTGGCTCACAAGTCCTGTTATCCTTCACAACTGGCCATGCTGCCTGGGGCTGATTTCAGTTCTACAACAGCTAGAAGCCCCCAGATTCCTTGATTCTGAATTTTAAAGAACAGCATGGCATAGTGGTTTGAGTGTTGGACTACGACTGGCGACCAGGGTTTGATTCCCTGCCTGGCCATGAGACCTACTGGGTGACCTTGGGTGAGTGCCACTTTCTCAGCCTTAGGGGCAGGCAAAGGCAAACCTCCTCTCAACGTATCTTGCCAAGAAAAACCCATGATAATAAGCCATAAGCAAACAGGGAATCAAACCCTGATCTCCAGGGACATCATCCAACATTCAAACCTCTACTATGCCATACTGGCTCTCATGCTCCCTAGACCACACTTTTTCTGGAAGAAAAGGTGATTTGCCTCTCCTAAAATGTCCCCAGCAGTGGCCATTCACCTTTTCAGCAGGTTGCAGTCCCCCTTCCTTGCACTAACATCAAAAATATCATATACCTTATTTTCTGGCGTATAAGACTACTTTTTAACCTG